AAATTCAGTTTACAATGTTCAAAATCACACTGATGACGAAAGTTCTAACGAACAATTCGACACTGGAAGTTATTATCAAAGTGACATAGGTGAAGAAAAGGTGTTCAAATAGTGCTTGACATTAATGTTACAAATCGTCAAAATTTTTCAATCGATTAGTTGGTCATTATTTTTTTAGTTGGTTGCAATCGATTAGTTGTAACTGGTCGATTAATCGATTAATCGATTAGTTGTAACTAATTCATTAAGTAAATAAATGATTTTTCAATCGATTCTTTGTAACTAATCAATTAATTCTATAGTTGATTAGTTGCAACTAATCGATTAGTCGATTAATCGATTAGTTGATTAGTTGCAACTAATCGATTAGTCGATTAATCGATTAATTGATTAGTTGATGTCTAAAAAGTTCAGTCGATTAGTTGTCAACTAACCAACTAATCGATTAATTTCGATTTCGATTTGTATCACTACCCACAACCCTAAATATAAGAGAATCAAGAATTGTATTTCAATTAATAATGATTAAATTTCATATTGTATTATTCGGTTGGTTTGGTTTCATTGTTGTCATCCTTTTCTCATACTGTATCAACATGAATTCATAAAATTGTTTACTGTAAACAAAAGATATAAACTTCAACAATAATTATATGATTTTATTCTTAATGCACTATTTCTTATCACATTTGTAGTATTGTTTAATGTTAAAAGACAAAGGAAAAAAAACAATTAGATGATAATATTGAGGATAAAAAAGTATTAATTGAAGAAATATATTATATCTGGGTAATTCCATTAACAATTTATTTTGTAGTTGACACAAGACTAAATCATGATAAATGAATAATACATATGAAAAAAACAACTATAGTATAGTAGGAAATAATAAAAACAAATAATAAAAAAAATAAAAAATAAAAATTTAACCGTAGCAAACTCATAAAAATATGATCTACATATTCGAATAAACAGTTAATATGTATATATAAATCAAAATATTTTGGGGGCATTCAAGTTCACATTTTATAAAACAGCTGTAAATTTGTATATGGAGTTTAACCATGCACTTGCTTCCGTGGTAAATTGTATTGATGAAAAAATTTAGATTACAAATACTGTAAAGAATTGCTCTGGTAAATCTAGTTTAGTATATTTTCGCCAGTGAATTTTAGACTTTAGATTTGGTCTAGGTTAAGTTTCGTTATGAATTATTTCTCTTGGTTCTGAATAATATGATTGGCTTTAGCTAGCTTGGTCGTCAAATTATAAATTATTTGATTTATTAACTTTATTCGATAACTCAGCCCCCAATTGTAAGATTCTACATTATTGAACATAAACTTGGAGCAAGAAGCGGAATAGCAACTGTAGCTGCGACTGCAATAATCTGCGGAGTAGACCTAACTAACCCTTTAGCTGTCTCATTAATTGTCTGTTTCCAACTAATAAACTCTTTTGTTTTCTTAGCAACTTCTTTTTCATTATCACTAATTTTCTTTATAATTATTTCTCTATCTTTTTCTATCGATTCTAAAATCATTTTTAAATCAGCAACAAATTCAATATCTGCAGCAGTGTCTTCTATTCCTCTTAAATAACCAGCCATTTGTTTACTTAGATCTTTTTCCTTACCACGATTTTTTTCGCATTCAAATAGATTTCCACTAGTCATCTTATTTAATTCATCTAAATTATTTGGATGATACGTTCCTTGATAAGTTATTAAATAATATAACAATTTTTCCCTTGATCTTTTTCGTGACGTTTGACTGGGTTCTTCAGTATAATTCAAATTGTTCACATGAATAACTCCATTACATTTCTCAAGTAAATTCGAAAGTTCAAGATTTTCATTACTCATAAGTGCAATATCTTCATCACACTTAACAATATTGTTAAAATCTGGAAATTTGGTTCGAACAATGGTAATATATTTATCAATTTTTTCATCGAAAAAAACTGACTTTAACAAATTATAAGCTTCTATTTCCTCTTTAGTAAATCTGCCTCCAATAACAAAGAAAATTTGATTTAAACCATTCCTAATAGCATAAACAGCCTCCGCTAGTTTGTATAATACTTCATCCTCAGTAAAACCTGTGTCGCCAATTCCTACTGTATCAATTAAACGGAACCTTGTGCCACGTATTGTAAATTCTTCAATCTGAATATTTTTAGTCTTGCTGACACTATTCGCACTTTCGATAAATTTGGTGGTCCCGCTTATTACATTTGCTAAGGCAGATTTACCATTACCTGTTCTCCCAATAATGAGTATATTTCGTATATTCATAATATATTTTAGTAAATTTTTGAAATTTCTTCACTAGAGATCAAAAGGTTAATTAGTTTTATACGCAAATATACTGTATATATGGGGAGAGTCGATAGAAACCAAGCAAATCATTTTTTTCTTTTAAACTTTAAACAAAAATCATTTAATAATTTTGATGATTTAAATCTTTTTAGAATTCCAAAAGTTTGTAGAACTCTAAACTATCAAAATTGGTTAGGTCATTATCGAATTATCTTTGTTTAAAGTTTAAGAACAAAAGTGATTTGCTTGGTTTCTATTGACTCTCCCATATATTGGTAGTGTTATTATTAACGAAAATTTTCAAAAAATGAAATATGAAGTGCTCACCAAAAATTACAACCACTAATTCATAAGATAAAAATGCGATTCTCAAACCTTTTTAATAAAAGTTTTAGTAAAGAGGGACCTCCCTCTTCTCTAAATTAGGCTATAATATCATCACAAAATTTCTAAATATAGAAATTGATGAATGTCTACAATCTTTCTATACTAGGAACGGAGTGCAACGAAGTGCATACCAGGAATGTAGTACGAAGTACGAAGATACCAGGAACGGAAGATTTTTTGAAAATACTGCGCAGGTTGCGCAGCCTGCACAGGCTTGCATTATGGCTAAATTTCGGTGGTAAATATTCCGCCTGCGCAGCGGCCCATCCCTAATCATAATCTCCCATAAGACATGATAAAGCTATCTTATATAATACCACGAATGAATAAAGTCGAACCTATTTATTGCTTGAAAAAAAAATAATAAACATAAGTTTTTATTGCGTCCTTAAATAACACTAAAAAACCTCATTTGGACTTATTAATTCCAAGATCCCGAAATATAAAACTACTTACCAGATGTTTCTTCACATTTAAATAAAGCTTCGAATGTTACTTCATATTTAAATAAAGCTTCGAATGTTATAATCTATTTTAATTTAATATATAATATTATAAAGTTATTATATATTACTTTTAAGCTCTTTTTCTCAAAACAAATAGTTACGTTTTTGTGAGTTAATTAAAGGCTTTAACACATATTTATTACAAACTAGGAACCGGGAACCGGTATAAGTCCGGAGCATGAAATATGTGGGTTTTGTCGATCAGTAAAATATGATTGGTTTATGATCACGTGGGCGGACGGACAGAAACCATTGCAGATCACACTTTACGTGGAAATAGAGAGTCCTCCGCTTCGCTCCGGACTAATTACTATTTTCTTAGCTTAAGAACCGTCTCTAAGTAAGGTATAGGCAAATCGAAGATTTTTTGTAAATACTGCGCAGGCTGCGCAGCTACGCAGCCTGCACGTGCCTGCATTATGGCTAATGCGGGCTAAAATTGCCAAATTTCGATAGTTTCCGGCATATTCCGACCTTCCGAAATATTCCGCCTGCGCAGCGGTTTAACGCCCAAAATTGGGAGAGCAGCACAGGAACAGGTGTAGATTAGCTTTGGGCGTAACATAAACGATGTGAGATGGATGGTTTAATTAGGGGTTCGGAATTAATGATTGCTGGTTATTAAAGAGAGTGAGATTGTTATGCTTATCAAGTATATGCTTCTTCTTATGCTTCCTCCTCCCTTTTATTAATTAAAAGAATTATATTTATACATTTATGATAACCCTAATTTATGCCTCATTTAGATAGAACTGATTATAATTACCAAAATAACGTAATAAATATGTAATAACCCATTACGAAAATGTAATCATAGATTCAGCCTATTACAGAAAATGAGGTAACAATTAAAGCTATTACAAAAGTTGACGTAACATCGGCCAATCCCTAGGTATACCTAGTATTCCGCAAAATCAAGTCAAAATTTGAATTTGATTCAAATATTTGAAATTATTTGATCAAATTTTTAATTAATTTGATCAAATAATTTCAAATGTTTGATCCAATTCAAATTTTGATTTGATTTTGCGGAGCACTAGGTATACCCAGGTAGAATGAATCCCAGAGATACACAAGATACTTAAAGCTTCATTCGTGAAGAGTCTTCTGTAGTATTATAAACAGCGGTTACATTTTTTTAAAAAAAAATTTACTATGTTAAGGGTAAAAGCACTCTAAACTGTATAAATTCAATTGAATAAAATTGACCAATTACGAGAAAGTTAGCCTATATGTTTTGCCCAGGGCTCCAGGTCCGAAACTGGGTGAAACTTCTGAAACTGGGCGAAACGTCCGAAACTGGGCGAAATGTCCAAAACTGGGCGAAACCTCTGAAACTATGTGAGACTTGATTTATTAGTATCTTTACCAAAATCAGGTAAGTACATTAATGTTACGACCTAAACCAAAATTTTCGCACATGTGAAACCTCCGAAACTGGGCGAAACGTCCGAAACTTCCGAAAATTGGCGAAACGTCCGAAACTGGGCAAAACATCTGAAACTGGGCGAAACGGGGAGAAATGTCCGAAACTGGGTGAAACTTAATCCACTAAATTTGATTTCTAGTGGTAAATCTCCCACAAACAATTTTCCCTACTACGTGATTTTTCGCAATTCACATGACATTAAGAAAATCGGTAAATTGTTTTACTTTTTAGAGTTAGAGTAGGGATTTGTTTAGGCAAATGATAGTTTGATAAGTTTCGCCCAGTCTCGGACATTTCGCCCAGTTTCAGACGTTTCGCCCAGTTTCGGATTTTGGGCGAAACCGAAACTCAAAATCTAAACCGTTTCGGACTTTGCAGTCACAGGACATGTCCTGATCGACGATTTTACTAGTAATTTTTTTTTGTAATTCGTAACTTTTTTAAACGATACATTGAATAATTAATAGAAATGATATTTTCGACCTTAAATAAATTTTATTTTCTAGCCGTTGAACTTTCTTTTTACAGCAAATTTATATTTATTACTTTAATTTATACAAAATAAAATGAGACACAGAATTGTAATATATATATTTTTTTTTTTTTTAAAGAGTGAGGCCTGGCCTTGAATAATTTATGTTTTATATTTGTAAAATGAATTCCATGAATTACTAAAGAGACCTACAGCTAGGACTACTTTATTCTTGGTTTAAAACTCTACTAGAGTAGACTAACAGACCTTATCTAGATTTTAGTAGTAATGTAAGATGTGAATATGTTAATAGTAGAAAAGATAGTTGTCTTTTTGTTAAAAATCTTGCTATACTATGTTGTAATGTGGAAGGGTGTTTTGAGGAGATATGATAAGTTGGTTAGTTGTTATATTCTGCTGATATATTGCAATATATAGTGCTTGTCATATTATTTTATAAATGTTCTTAGAGATTTTATTTTATTTTATTTATTTTATTTATTTTATTTTTTTTTTGGTTTAAAGAGGAAGCTCTGGTTCTATTTTTTATTAGGTTATTGTCCTACTTTTTACATAGATGCTTTATATTTTGCATATCAGCGAGGCCACAATTAGCCACATGTACAACTTTAGTTATTGTCTATTTAAAGGTTCCACCCACAGGTTACCTGCTAATTGCCATATCTAAAACCCACTTGTGGGTTCTCTATTTAAGTCCTCTGATTTTCAATATTTTTTCTGCAACACAAACCTAACTTTTGTATTGGAATTTCGGGCTACTTTACCTGTGAACTAAGCCTCTACCAATTTGGAGGTGGTTCTCACAACTACACCCCCAATTTGGGTTTCTTGTGCCAGAGGTGTTCTGCATTTGGTAAGGCCAATCCTTTTTCACAAATCTTCTACATGTTCACCGCTTCTCTCATCATTTATGGTGCTTACGCTTCATGGGTTGATCTCTTTCTGGAAATTCCTAATCCAAACTTGTATTTACTTGAACTTGTACCACAGGGCTTCGCATCTGATTTATGACTTCTTTTATAATTACAGAGTATATTTTGCCTCCAGTCAAACTCGAACCATTGACCTTGTCTATAGTGGGGTCAGAAACTTACCAAGTAAACTATGGGACCTGAATCCCTCTTAGAGATTTTATGCAATAGTTAAGTGTAATAAGTCTTGGATAGGGTAGTGAGCTTCTGGATATTGGAAGAAGCAAAACCTTGTATTGCTGTTATAGAGAGAGTATTGTCAGAGATGTAAAAAACCTTTGTAGAATTGCAAAGGTTGCTATTGGTGTATCTTTTGTTTATTTAGAAACTTGAATAATGGTATTATGAATTACTTGGTATATAGTAGTCTAGTTTTTATCACATATGAGCCAATGAGTATTGTTTTCAATTTCTGCATAGTATTTCTTACATGTCAGATTAATATAAGTTTTTGGGTATCAAAAATGTTGATTGAAAAATATAGATAGTTTATTAATAAAAAATTTAATTTTGAAGTTTGTAATTTGTGATAGTTTAGGGTGTATAAACCAAGTATACAGTTTGTTGTTGTAGTTTATAAAGTTGTGTAGTAGTTTTCAATCTGTATTTTGCCATATCTGGTTCTAGATTTGGGCTCTGTTTAGAAAATATTACTTGGTCATATTGTTTGCATTTTGCATATGTCTAATAAATCGATGAGTTTTGTATTTAATAATTATACTATTTTAGCTTATAAAAAAGTTATTATCATCAAGTACATGAAGAATATATTCTAGTTTATTGTATTATATTGATGTTATAGTCTGTATTATATGTTGAAATAGTAGGGTTTTGATTTAGCTTCTATTAATATAAATTTGATTGTAATATTTTTCTGTGCTATAATAGTATATATAAATTGTTTAAGTAGCCATAAGTTTTGTTTCTGTAAGCTTAGATTAAAGTTAGGTATAGTTTGTAAAATTGAATTGATCATATTAATTGTTATAAGGTAAGGTTAAAATTGTTATCTGATAGTCTGATAGTGCTATAGATAATATTGAAATTATTCTAACTAAATATGCCCTGGTTATAAAGAGCCAAATATAATATGAGCTGCAAATATTAATTTGTTGAAGTAAGAGTCCAAGTGAATAATGCTGAAAAATATGATATATTTATGTTATTATATATAGCATATATATAAAAACTAAGTTTTGATGCTTGTAAGTTAATTTGTACTAGATGATTTAATTAAGATTAGGCAAAATCTAGTTTGAATAATTGTTAAAAATAACTGTAATATAAGAAGATCAGTGTAGGGTAATAGACTTTGTTTTCTGGTAGTTTGTTGTAGTTATAGTCTTATTAAAAAGGGGTGCTTAAAAATTATATTAGTATATAAGTATTCTGAACATGTAGCTTGAATTGTAATATAATATTGTATAGAGATAATAATAGTACATAGTTTATATCTATTAATTACTATTATTAGTATATAAAAAATACAGCAAATAAGTGGTAGAGTATTAATATTAGAAACTGGAAATAGCTAATATATAATTTGTATATTGTTTTTGGTAACTTAGTTTTAAAAACTTTCTCTATAATTGATATATTTTGAACTTTGCATAATATCTAGCTAGTTTGTACTGATATCATATTATTAGTATAGTAGATTTTATTTAAAGCCAATATATTTTTTATATAAATACTAATTTTTAGCTATAGTATAATCTAATTATCTAATAAAAATACAGAAGAACTTAATACAATTTTAAAAATTATTAATAATATTTGAATTTTGTTAATAAATTCAAATTTTGTTATATTTTTTTAGGATATTTTTAACTTGTACCAGTGGTTAAGAATAACCACTATGCAATATCTCGAAAACTGTACTATGAAACGGGGGTCGGGTAGGTTAAGTAAAAATGTTTAGAACCCCTGAAAACCTCACAAGAACTAAGATTGGGACCTAATACCCGATCCATATTATGTTATTTAAAAAATTATTTTATATAAAAACCTCTATTTATTTTAAAGCTACACCCTAACCCTAAGTTTTAATTAAGGTGGTTATTTCTAACCAATGGCACAGGTTATAATAATTCTTTTTTTATATATAAATGCTAAAATCTTGAAATTAAATATAAATTTAAATTAATATAATAGTTTCAAAATAAAAGATATTTATAAAAATTTTTGATAATTTAATAGTTTAAAATAAGTATTAAATTATCAAAAAATTTTTAATTTTTAAAAAGCTATAACAATTTAAAAAAATTTTATAATTAAAAAGTAATTGCTTTAAATAAAATTTACTATAGTAAATAGGCTGAAGCTCACAGTTAAAATATGTGATATAGTGTGTTCTGTGAAACTTCAGAAACTACTTTGGTATCTATTCTGATATAATTTTTTAGGTTTTATAAAACAGTTGGTGCCAGGTAAGTAGTTGTATATTTGTATAATTTGTGAGCTATTTAATTGCATAAATATTTGTATAGTTTGTAAAAGTTTTAATATAGTTGGGTTTGGAAGTATTTAATTAGTTGATCAATTGTAGTACTAGAATATTTAGTTAGTATAAACTATAAGTAGATAGGTTTAGAATTGCAAAATTGAGTTAGTGTATTGTGCAAATTACTTGTATAATTATATTTGGTAGGTAGAATAAATTGTGGAGACTATAGTATATTAATTTGTATTATAAAGACCTTTGTAAATACTACAAGTATATCTTAATAGATAGCATAGTAGTAAGATTATTAATTTGGTTGTATAATACTGATATGTGGTTTTGTACTTGTATATCATTTAGTTATCTAAGCCTATATATTTGATAGTAGAATATAGTTGTATTAGAAATGCAGCTTGTGAGACTAGTCTTGTACTTGACAAATTGTATATATTATCTAGTAATTTTTGAATATATATTTTGGTGTACAAATATATTAAGTGTTCTGTAGGAGAATTATAAAATAAGAACTGTATTAATAATATATATAGCTTGTTTGTCATTTATCTTTTTTTTTTAATTATTTTTATAAGACTAGTAACTTCTTTGTTATCTGTTTGTAAATATCTTTGTAGTTGTTGATAGTAACAAACCAGCAACTGCAGTAGCAGAATACTTCTTTTTAGAAGTAGCAGAAATAATAGAATCAGTGAAGTAAATAGTTGGTTTAAGATCAATAGTATGATTTGTGGCTAAATAGATTTTGATAGATTTACAATAATATGTGATATATTGTAGAATAAAGTTGCTATATTGACAATATTTTGTAGATATTGTTTGTTAAGGGTGAGTTAAGAGTATTATTCATAGAGATGTAGTAAGTAATTGGGTTGTGTGATAGTAATTGTACAGATATTGTATATTCTGTAAATTTAGTCAAAATATAAGTAATAAAAGGATTATAATATATGTATTAAAGTAGTGGTATAATTGTTTTTTTTTGGTCAATTTTATTCTGTATATTATAGTACTGTGTGAAGCCAAAGTTTGTAATAACTGAGTTTTGGTAGTTTTAAGAGATATTGATAATAAGTTACTAAAATATATCAGAGATTAAGTATATATTGGAGTAATAGTATATATATATTGTTATATACTTTATTTATATTCTGAGAGAGAAGCTATAACTCTTTGTTTTGTATTTGAGCTTCTTGTAAAATATTAGTAAGTATATAGATAGATTGTATTATAGAAATGAATAGAAGTACAACAAAGTTTTGTAGATTGATTATTGGGTAGTAACTTATGATTTGCTTTAAATAATAAATAATAATTTTTGTAAATATTTTGTAAGTATATTCAAGTAAGGTGATAGGTCTGATATAATTGA